ACGTCCACAAGGGTTGGTACTGCCCAGGTTGGGGAACACTGTCCTATACCATGGAAATGTATAGGGGCACACCTGTAGGAGACCACAGTTTTTCTGACACAGGGTACACTCTATGCCTATACTGAAAATATGTGTCACTAATTTGACCAGAAAACAAGCACAGTCTAGAATCTAATTATAGATGTGCCAAATGATGTAGTGTGGCTAGGGTACATCAGATCATACGTAATGGGTCAACTCCAGTTCAAAACCACGACACAACAGATATTTTTCACCCAGTCTGCAATAGGAGAAGGGTCTGTACCAACCATGAGAGAGGGCTTATGTTGGCTGGTCCAGTGCCTATCTAACATCAAACTGCCCAGGAACCAACATCCAGCCAGCAGTAAAATGAGGAAAAGCTAGCTGTAGGGGTGAACTGTCTATTCCATAGTAGGAAGAGGATCCACACCATCTAATCCAATAAAACACTACTGCCTTACTTAATACTGAGTGGAATTTGTCACACTCGGGAGGAATCCTCCAAGGTTCATCACCCCCAGAGGCTAGAAACTGGTAAGCAGCAAAGACTCCCATACTCCACTAGAAGGGTGGAGGGGGTGAAAAGACACTGAGAAGCCAGAACAGAACAACATCTTAGGATAGTGCAATGGATGATCATGAAAACCCCATACTTAAAAGCAGGCCAGCTCCAGTTTATTCAACTGGGACTGGAAGTTCACGATAGTACATAGTTCATGAGTGGGTACAATCTGAATTAGGCCTTGTTTAGTAAATTATATGCACAAGGATACCTCTAGCAATCTTGTGGAACGCTCCATCTTATCAGTGAATGCCATATCAAGTCTGAAAAGGCTCTACATAGTGCAGATTTAGTTAAGTATATCCTGGAAGGCATCACTTACCACTTAGAGGATTCCTGTGAAGTATAAGAGAGCCCTGTAAAGGTATGAGAAATAGAACTTAACAAGTCAGAGCCAGTAAGGTGTATGGACAATTGTGATAGAAGAAAGTCTGTAGTCCGATGATGAAGAAACAGCCAAATGATGAAGATAATATGCAACAAACTGTCCACATACCAGACAACACAATCTCCTTCAATAAACAATGGAAGTGAGCATTCAAGGATATAATAAGATGTCAGATTTGTTGAGAGGTAATTTGGAAATGACTATGTGAATTGTTATCCAATGAAACATGGGATAAAAAGATGAGTTTATGAAGCTATCCTGTTAGGTTAGTGGAAGAAATATCTCGATTAGAGTAGGGATTCCAAGGAACAAATATACGGGATCATGAACCTCAAAAATGATCAATGTGGGCCAAATAAATCAAACCACACAAACAGGACAGAAAAGGCAATCAGGATCACAGTGAGAATAAAGGTGAGAAATGGATGGAAGGGAAATAGGAGTGAACATGCTGACCCCTTAATGAGCTGCAGACATTAAAGGTAGAAAAACATGATCTAGATAAAGAAGAATATAAAAACAATGGAAAAAATACAGGAAGAATGAATGACATACATGTCAATGGTCATAAGCAAAAAAAAGTAAGAAATAGGTTGTAAGTGAAAGATGTTACAAGGAGCAAGAGGCTAAAGGTTGAAAAGGCAAGAGCATGGTGAACAACATTCAGATCCCAATTAGGCAGGATAGGGAGGATGAAGGTGTTGAAAAGAACAGATGAGCATAGTAAGTATTGGAGAGGACAATACATGATGGTAATGAGAAAACCTGAAAATATTAGATACGGCTACCCTTTAGCCAGCAATGATCAACGGTGATAAACCTTCACTAAAGAGCCACATAAAAACTTCAGAAAGATGGGGTCAGAATGATGGGAAGGGAAGAAAGAATGACACAATGACTAACTGTGGAAATGCACCATTTTCTTTGTTAGACAAGGAGAGAGAGAGGGCAAATGGTATGAGGAAGAAGGAAGGTTACTCATGAAGAGAGTATGGAACATCTTGCAAGGGACAGGACAAAACCCACGTGCAAACCCAGAGTGATGACACTGTGGAATGGGAGAAGGAGGAATGTGGTTGAAGGAGTAGGGTTCATGATGGAAGTAGAGGAAGAGTTAATTATGGTTAAGCTGGCCAATACAGAGCTATGAGGAGAACCTGACATGAATGAGGAAAAAAACACAAGGGAGAAGATGAATAGGAGGGTAAACATATATAAAAAGGTTGGACCAGACCTGGCAAAATGCAACTACAGTTACATCTGATGGATGAGGAACTGGGAACCAGGAAATGGGAAGTTTGGTGTTGAGATGAGTGACAACTACATCTATAAGAAGAGTGTCTACATGACAGCACAGCCACTTGAACACCTGAGGATTGAGAAACCATTCCATTGGTAATATCTTGTCAGGCCTCAAAAGATGACCTGCAACAAGATCAAAGTACCTGAAATATGATAAGCCATTAGTCATACTTGTAAAGAATGGGCCCAGAAAAGGAGTTAGAGATCATGGAAACAGAAAGTGAGGCTGAGAGGAATGGTGGAATGTAATGGAAAGAAGGTGAGTGGAGGAAAAATTAAGTCTGAGAAAGTCGATTAGAGGATCCAAACCCCCCAAGTCTGCAGAAAAGACCAAAGTTTGGAAATTTAAGAAAGGTAATACAGCTGGATGTTATGTCCATGCAAATGAGGTAACAAAGTAAGGAGGATTAGGTATGCATGCACTAAAGATGGGAAATGAATCCAATATGGACTTGAATATCTGGAGGGTAAGTATAAACATAAAAGGTAGAAGCAGGAAACAAATTACAAAGTGAAAGAGAAAAAGAAAGTAGCATACTTTAGAAACCCTGTCCCAAAATTATGAAAAAGGCTTAGGTAGATATGAGACAGCAAGGGTAGAAGATTAGGCAAAAGTAATTGGTGGGAAAAAAACTGAGAAACATAGGAGGAAGAATTTCAGGTAGAAAAGAAGGCCCAAGCCGCATGAAAGACTTCATTTCCCTTTGCACAAAAGCCATTACCTCATCAATGGATAAACCCTGACACCATTGGAGTTGTTAGTCAAGCATGAACAATGTTGTGTTGTTCCTCACTTGACAAAGTGGAAGTTACTTACACACGTAAAGTAATAATGTGGAAATAAAAGGCCACAAGATCTGCAGATGCTGAAAATGTTAGAAAATGAAAATCCAACAGTTAATATTTCCACAACAGGTAATGTGTTTGTATACTTCCACAAAAACAAGCACCAATATCTGAATAGCTCATGAGCAAAAACAAAGATATATTAACATATGAGTGCCAAATTGAGATGTGATGATTGAATAATCAGTATAGAGGGAGCCAGGTGTACTAGAAAGGTGTGTTGCACTGCCATTGGTGGAAGGTTGTCCATGCTTATTTGCAAACAGCAGCACAGCAATATCACGTGGAAATGTATGATCTTAGATGGGAATTTCAAGGTGAGTGAAAATTGTGCATATGTAGAGCAGCACTGAATCAGGAAAGCTATTATGGAGGTAAGGTATCATATCAGAACTAACTGTTATATTTTCAAGGTTTAATAAACTATATATTTTTGTGAATTCTGGTTCTGCTTCCTTGTTTCTCAAGTAAATTTCAAGATGCCAACAAAAATGAATGATTGCATATTCCTGATATTTGTAACTGGTTCATTACTCAACAAAAACAATCTGTTATATTTACTAGCTATCATAACAATTTCATAGTTGCTGTTGTACATTTCTTAATGTTTAAGTTGCACATAAAATTTATAAATCCAGTTATTTATCAAACTATTAAAATATGCTTTTGATAGTGTATTTTCACTTTAATGACTAAAAACATTGCTCAAAATATTCAATCTGAACAATGGTTGTTACAGATTAGTGAAATTACTTTCTCAACCTCAGATAGTCATTAGTTGAGAGGTTAGCTTCCAACTATCAAGTTCTTAGTTTTGTAGAAAAAGATTTAAGATACATGTGTATAAGTTAGATCTACTTTTGTATTTGTCTGTCTGTGAATTATCTTTAGTAAAATGTACAGATTTCCAAATAAATGTTAAAAGCAAGTAAGTAGCAGATTTTGATTTAGTATCAAAGTACATACTGAAGACTTAAGATCTTTGTTTCCATTCCTTATGCTTTAGGTGCATATCTTGTGCAGTGGTCATGCAGTTAGGTTAACTGGGCTTGGAAAGAATGTTCTCAATGGGGGAACCATAATTGTTTCAAAAAGTATTTTTTTTTATCTCAAATTAGAAATTTAAGAGCAAAAAAACAGTGGAAAAGAACAGAGATACATAGTCAAAATAAACTCTGAAAGAACAAATCCTTGGTCACAGCACCTGAAGTGTGACTTGGTAACAGTCTTTTGTATCTCATGTAAAACTGGAACCAATAGGCAAGTACAAAGTCTTCAGGCATTAAAGTTATCAGTGTTATCGTGAAAACTTGTTTTACTAATACTTATTCTGATGAATGTACTTATAAGTATATATACATGAAATATACTTAAATCACTTCATCTCCCTGTTCATTCAGAAAAGGCAATTTTATGCTTAAAATAGTTTATACTGATGAACTCAATACATTATAAATTTGATTTGCATTTCATAGAGTGGAAATAACCTGTCATATTAAGTCTAATTTTCTCAATGTAAAAACAATATTATGTAAATATACATTTAATGTTTTCAATAGAAAATGTACTTACAATTTTGACCCTGAACTAAAGAATATATATATATATATTTTTTCAAAGAGAATAATACAATGTTTTCAAAAACTTGAATGCATGTTTCTTATAATTCATTCCAGTATAAAGCATCTCATCATAAAGCATTAATGCATAAATACTGGCTGGTGATCAAGTTAAAATGTGACCATGAACATGAAACACAAAATGTACGCCAAGCTGAATAATGTTAAATAAGCATGCTAAAGCAAATACAGATAATGTCAACAAAAGATAAGCACTACTAATAAATAATCAGAAATAACACAGTAAAAAATCAAAACTCACCTCCAAACATTCTTCTGGCTCAAGTATAATGAAGCTGCATTACACAAGCTCTCTGTAAAATACAATTTAATTTATTAACAAGTTGTGGAACAACATATATATTCATACATATATTTAGTACATTTTATTATACAAAGATTATATATTTTTTCAAACATTTTTACTCAAGATAAACAGAACAGATATTAAAACACCCCACAGAGACACACAAGCATATACAGCTGAACCTAACACAAGAACAACACATGGAAAACATGAAGGGTCACAAAAATAATTAAAACAATTTAAGAAACCCAAAATTATAAGCATTGTTGAAAAGTAACTTTTATTGGGAGTAAAATAAACCATGATGAAAAAGTTCTACTTTCCAAGGGGTTTGAACTTTTTAAATCATGTTGAATCTAAAATGTGTCTGTAGTTGAAGAATCTATCAAAATCTTCAAGAAATGTTTCACCAAATTTGGTGAAACCCAGTACAGTGAAAACCTGCATTTTAGTGGTGCATCATTAACAATATACTATTGTGGTATATCCAGGTAAAAACTGAATTAATGTTAGAGCTACACCAGATGTGTTGACTTTTTAACTAGGGAAATGATCAGGTTATTGATTATGGAGTAATACTAAAACTTTTACAGACTGGATTGATACTAAAGGAAACAGAAAAGGAACACAAAGTGAAACACAACATGAACAATCTTTATAATAGGATGTAACAAAAACAGTATGTGTACCTACTTAGATGTTTTAAACATACTGGACCATTGCTTTCACTGGATCACTGGACTGACAGCCAATTTCTAATATACTATCATCAATGATGTTCCAAACCAGACTTTCAAATACCATGTTTTAAAGAAACTCTACATTTACCCAGCAAGACAGATGTTACACACATGGTCATTGTTATTACAAGTGAGGCTGTAACTACTAGATATCTCCTACATCCTGTCTAAATCTTTACATAAAGTGTTGTATTAAGCTATATTATACTTGGGTAGTAACAAGTATTATCTACTTCTGAATTCAATAGAGGTAACTTGAAACAAAATCAGCTTAATGGTTTTCTCAATCATGAGTTCTGTGATACTTGCACATATTCAGAACAAAGAATAAATATTATAATACTATAAGAAAATAGAAACTCATGGCATATTAAAATTCCACAATGTTTCTTTTCAGTTAGAACTGTATGTGTGAATCTTAATATGCAAAAATACACATGAAAAGTGTTATTTGAAAGGGATATTTCATCAAATGAAAATATCAGAAAATTTAATTCTGAACATATTCTGAGGCATGAAAATATAAAAAGAAAGGAATAATAAAGTTTATATGGTGGTAATAAGTCTTTAAAAAAAATTAAATGTTGTAATGAGTTAGCTGATAACTAACAATGTTCTGTAAACACTAAGAAACAGAGAACCATTAACTGAAGGTAAAGTGTACTCACAATTACATAGGAAACTCACAACACAATTTTTTTGTTATAAACAGATTATGATAAATTGTTTGGCTACATTACGTGGCATCAGTTTAATACATTTTCTGAGGGGACCATATATGTATTCTATCAGTAATTCTAGGGTTAGAGCTAAAATGTTTACGAAACATTAAGTAGGGCAATAATTTTAGAATTCTAATTATATCTATTTTGTATGGTTCTTGTACTTAAATGTATACAATGGTTTATTGTGTAAAAGGTAGCAGTTACATCACAAGATGCACAATGAGATGGTACACTCGCAAAATATATCAGCTATTGTGAGAATATGAAGACACATGCAAAGTGTTGCATGTCATGTACATAATGATTTTTTTACATGGCAATGTGTTTTGTCTAGTGTTATGTGTGGCTAAGCATTATCCCTTATCTTTTGTTTTATAACATTACAAACTTTCCTTATAACAAATCGAAAAATTTCCTTACAAATAGAAAAATAATAAAAACACTGCTTTACTTGGTGATGTATTGCATGTAATATTGTAATCAAATATATTTTTCTTCAGTTTAATGTTTGTAGAAAAATTATTATAGAGATCAGAATGATTTATCATTGAAATATATTTTGCATACTGTGATAAAGTTTTGTAAAGTAAAATTATATTTTTCAATTCTGTTTCATAAAATTGTAATCTCTTTTAGTAGGCTATATTTTCAATGTTCTAATTCAAGTGTTAGCTAGAGGGCACAAGACATCACCTTCAAGTAAGTTTGTGTGAAAACACCTAGAATGTTCTAAATTTGATGTCAATAATCTAGTAAATTAAGGAGTATGAGGAGATGAGAGTAGATTATAAATGAAATAATCAGTAAATAACTGATCCAGTTATTGTCAGTTTTTTGCTTTAAGCTAGTGGTGAATAGTGAATGAGTATCAATTCTGTCATTTTAGTTCTGTGAAGTATTTGGATCCATGCTAGTGATTGGGTATATTCAATTATTCAACCAATTAGCTATGAAATTGTACAAGTAAGTTTATTTTTACATTATTCCTAATACTGTTAGTGAGTTATCATTTGAATCGTTTGTAAACTTAAGTCTACAAAGTACAAGTTACAATAGTGTACGAGTAAAAGCAGCTTGTAGAAACAGTAAGGAAGAAGCAAACTTATTTGTTACTACTACAAAGACTAGACTTTGAATTATTTTCACCAGATAATCCATCCAACAAAAGAAGAATGTTGCAATAATATCATAAACCAGGTACTAATTGGATTTTACTGAACATAAAAACTATACACTGTTAACTAAGTAATTGTTAGCTGACAGATGTATTTCTTAGAATTTGTATTATATATGTATTATTAATCACTTAAATTTTAAACATTAATAGATCTAATCATACATACAACACAGTGACTTCAAACAGTTTATGTATACTGCATACACCTCCTATATTGATAGGTGTGATTAATTTGCAGCAATGTAGCTACAATGATCTAATATTCATAATTTTCTCATAGAAAGCTACTTTAGAATTATTTTATACCTCATCATCAAAACTGTTAAATTTTAGCAAAGACAGAACATGCTCATAAATTAGTATAAAAGTATTAAAACTGTTATGTTTTATTACATTATGCCAAAGTTATGAACATTTATTTCACGAAGAAAACAATATCTAAAGTTATATATAACTGATCAGTCTTGCTTTCAAATTTATGAATATTTAATAAGCACAAATTAAATAAATATGCACATTGATTCTCTTAAGCAATGCACAAATAAAAAGGGACAGCAATTTACATACTAGCCATGAAAAATGTCTATTACACTAAAATTATCTATCAAAATATTGCATGTAAGAAGGTTAAAAATTATTAAAATGCACATAAAAATGTATATTGACTTTTGCAAACATCTCATTCAAAATCAAAACTACATTCACCTATTCTTTAGTATATTCATAACAATGCTCCTGTAATCTAGTGGTGTTTTTTGGGGACAGACATGAAAAAAAAAACCAAGTTCAACTGTTCTTCTATTAGATTAAGGTTATATTTACATACTTAATGCAACTGTTAGAATGTTAAACAAATACTGTGTGCAACATGGACAGCTGTTTTGTCTACTAATACAATTACCTATGACCCCTTATGATGGCCATATTAACATTACTGACTTTGGATGCATGTTGGGTTTTTTCACACTAATGTCATGTTTTAATCTTCAGCTTTCCATATTGATAGGTAAGAAATATTCTTTTTTCCAGAATGTTTCCTCGCAAGTGAGACTTATTCAGTTTGTAGAGTTTGAAAGAGAAACCAGTTGAATTTCCCAGTACATGTTTGAAATTACTGGTGCCAAAAACAGAACTGGAAAAATTATTGTGTGAAGCAAAAAAAATTGAACAATCCAATGACACTACAGCTGCATTTTACTATAATAGTTAAACATTGAATAATTATGATAAATAATGTCTGACTATATTACTAAATATTTGCAAGTGTACATGCATAGTTGGGTGCATAAATATGCAATAAGGTTTTACTGTGCCATAACATGTGGAATTGAAGATGTCCTAATTAAAAACATATTTTTCAATTGTTCTTACTTTGACTTATAAGAACACAACTTGAAAAGTTATTTTCAAAATTTGTCTTCATCCCCCACAGGTAGCTTGGCCTCACCTTTTTGCAGCATGCATTTAAAGAACTTGGTTACTGACCATAAATGGCAAGTACACATACATTATTGTCTGCATGGCATTTATATTGCCGACTTTACAATTACCAGCAAAACTTACTTTCAGGAACTTACTGCAATATAATGTTGTGGATGCAAATATTATTTTTTCAAGAGTTAAGGTACAAAACTAATACAGTTATCTTACTCTACTGTTTGACCTGCAAACCTGAGTATTTGTTTGTATTAGCATAAAGCTACAGAATGGGATGCAATGTGTCTAAGTTGGGTCTGAAGTTCAAATATAATTATGTTAAGTATGCTATGTTTCACACTATATTAAAGAAATAAAATTACAGAAGAACATAACTAAGTAGTTTATTTAATTTACACAGCACTTTTCTATAGCAACAGTCTAATTGTGGTATGTTCAGGTAAAACCAATTTCCCTACAAGTATTAGATAGGCAAACCCATATAATAGCAGATTTGATCAAGAAACAAGGGGAGTGTTCTGAATTATATAACATGACTGTAAAGTAATGAGTCTTAACAAATGTAAATAAATGAATAAAATCTTTACTGTTACAAACAGGTAGAAAGCACAATGTGTGTACTTGTGCAGATGTAATGAGTCATTTTTACACCATTACAGCATATAAACTAAATAACCAAAATTTCTTTAAATCTTTATATTACTATAGTAGGCAGAAAACATATGTTATCCCTGCATATAACATTTTTCATCCCTTCTCTGTTTCAAGCTTGCCCTCAAGCCAACAATTAAATTTAACTTTAAAATAATAACCTTTAAACTTGTAACATGGTCTAGAAGCATGTTAACATGACTTTGTTTCTAAGAGCACTTGCACATCACACAGATGACAAAACCCTTTAACAAAAAACCATACTAATACATAAGAT